GTGGTCGTATTATAGTCGGCGAACCAGGTGTCGCCACGATGTATTAGCCGTCCTATTCGTGTTATTAATGTTTACATTTTTCCGAAACGGTGGGAAACGATTGACTCGAGAAAAACGCGCGTTCCGTTATCAGATTCCCCTCTCACGGCCATAATATTCGCTCATTAAATCGCGTAATGGACTTTGTGTCGTAATTAAACTTTAGGCCCGTTCGATAAACGAATCTTATCGCGATCGCGATTTCGTTGCGCCAAATTCAAGGCATTTTTCCAGTCCGGTTAACCCGATGAATTACACACGTTATATAGAATAAGTGACCGAACGATCAATGTTTAAAGGTCTGATAGCGGCGTGAAATTCAACGTCGAATCGCGGGTTTCGAGCTTTCCGGAACGACCTGCGCGGTTATAACCCGACATTTCGTTCAACTATGAATTCTGCATCGAATTCCCAGCATTAACGAAATGTAACGCCCCGCTGGAAACGGCCTCTTACGTTCACTTTGTCAGCGAGCAACGATATTACATGTCCAGTAATAAAATATGTCCGTGAAAACGCAAACTGGACAGAATCTGGTGCTAATAAAGATGCTGGTATCTTCGTAATCTTCTCACTCTTAAAACCACGCGACGCAACAACGATTTATTGATAGATCTTACGCGAGCATCGGGATAATACTCGGCTGGTATGAGAAATAATTAGATCAACGTAGGATTCGTAGAATTTTCAGAGCCCGTGTTCCAAGCGTTCCGTTGTAATGGACGTTGCTTTAGATTTTACTCGCAACAGAGAACGAAACAGCTCGTAGCCCGGTGGAAAGTTGAACTGCAAACGCGAGATTAAAATCATCCCGTAACGACGTCAAATTAAACATCCAGATTCACCAGCAACTTTATTTAACCTACTGTCTCGTTGATACACGCTACGCTGAAGGTAATCCTAGCAAATTGAATCTTGCGTTATTTGCGCTGCGCGTACTCCTCCCGGATGCTAACTGTTGTTTGCCGGCACAAAGAAAATCCGTTCTATGAGAAATAAACGTCCGATGAGTCGGTGTATGATAAAGTACGGTATTTCGTATCCTTTGGTTCACCGGTTTATAAACTTTTTGGGAAAGAAACCGTCCAAAAACAAACTTTCCGCGCGTCCGGGATGACAGATTTTAAAATGGTAACGAAAAAGATTCTCTTACGGTTATTAAGCTACGATGTTTAGCGAGTTTTCTTACGAGACGGGGGTTACATTTTGCTCCAAGAAAAACCCTGTTTCAGTCGTTTCGAGTCAATTGTATTTGTCGAAGAAGATGGTGCACTCTTAAGTGTATTATAGGTTTATAGTCGATGCCGGAGTAAAACTCCGTATCCAGAGGAGACATTTCCATAACGGGGCTCTTACGTTCCTACTTGAATCATGTTTTAACCGCGGTGATAAATACGTATATTAAACTCGGCGATAAACATAATTACACCACCCATTTCGAGGTAAAACCCTTTCCGCGAAGGTAGCCGGGGAAATTCATAATGCTCGTAAGAAATTGATGCTCGCGAAATAGCGAAAGAAAAATACTTGGGAAATTAGTTCGCGCGCAAACGATGTTAAATATTTTAGCCCGTTAGCGAGTTACTCGATGAAATTTAGTTCTCGCCCGTGTAACGGAAGTATTAGTTCGCGAAATATGTACAGCGAACCGTTGCAAAACTGTCGCGGGACGCGACTCTCGAAAAATGGCCAAGCATGATGTTTCAAAGGGGACGGTGACTCGGATATAACCGAAACCCAGTTTAGACGTGACACAGGCTTAATCTAGACTTAATCCGGACTTGACCGTTCGGACTATCAAAGAACCAACGTCGTCACTCTGCAGAGAACTATTATTTAACGGAAGTTTAATCTAAACCTAACCCAGCGTTGGGCAACCGCAGAAACGAGGACATTGTTTCATAGGTCAGGCTATCTAACACGAATTTCATCCAGACTACCATCTAAATTTCAATTTTATTCGTCCACATTTTACTCAGACAATGTAGACACCATTCAGATCTATTCTAGCCTACTCGACCTGCATTTAATCGAGATACGAGCCACGTATCGATGTTTAATCGAATTTTAACGCAACTCAAAGTTGGACGTTGTGCGAGGTTGATTTTATTGAATTCGAACGAGAGTCAAGGTACAGATCGTCAAGATTCGTTCGAGACTCTCTCACGTTCGCTTATTCCAGATGTAAGCTATCGAAAGAGCGACCAGGGTGCTTTAAGAAGAGGGTTATCTTGCTCAAGCACAGTTTGAACACAATTCAAAGTTGGTCTGTCTGAGCTAATCTGACGCAATTTGAAAGAGAACGGTGCTGAAGTTCAACCTGGACTTAACCTACGTAGAATGTAAATTAGGACTATCGGAGATACTGATGATTCTTCGAAGAGTGCATTACGTCGTGTAGATCTTATTCAATTCTAACTTTGAACATAGTAGACGTCAAGATCTGTTCTAGACCGCGTTCCCTACATTTCATTCAAACATAGTCCGCGTACAATTGGAATAACTGATGTTACTTGGTAGAGAATATCGCCTAAACTATTTTTAATAAAATACCTTCTCTTTGTAAAGTGAATGCAACTCAAACAGAACCCACATCAGATCACAATTTGATCAGCTTGGACTAAGGGGCAAACTAAACCCAAACTTGGGCTATCGGAGGAACGGCGGCTTCGCTTAAAGGAGAACGTCACCTACTTCCGATGTACACAGATTTAATCTAAACTTAATCCCCCATTACACGAGTTTCATTGCATCTTCCAAAAATCAAGTCTTTCATATAAAAAAATATTATATAATTACGGTTAGAATAACTACATGAATTTTCGAGGCAACACACGCTATTTATATTCGTTTGTATAGACTTAGCATTTCAGGCAGCACCGTGTCTACAAAACGCACATATGATTACGAACTTTGAGCAAATAGATTGCGCGGTATATGTTAGCGCAGAAACAAAGTTTGGTTACCGGGAAGGAAAAGTGGGAGTCGTGTAATGCGTGGAAACAGTTGACCGTTGGAAACATTTGACAGGACAACAGGTCAACCGCAAACGCGATTCGCGAAATAAGCTGGAACGGACTTGCAACGCGTACAGATTCCACGGATTTCTAAAAAATAATCACACGGCATACTATTTATTTCTGACGCTATTCAGACGGGATGCAAACGAGTAAATAATCAAAATTTCTGGTAAAGAAGCTTTTAAAATATTTAATCGATCGGATACAGAAACTTTGAAGCCTGTATGGGGGACTAATAGCAACTATATTTGAAATGGTACCAATGAAAGTTAAGAAACACTTTCTGGAATTTCGAGATGTACGTCGTGCACCGAGCACATGTTGTCTACCGTGTCTACCCCACTTTTGGTGGCCTTGTTCTTTGGTCTTCCGTTGCAGAATCAATATTTCCATCGTAATGCATGCTCGAGAAAAGAGAAACAAGTTTATACATTTTTTAGAACATAAACCGGGGTTTACATCCTCTCGAAAATCAAATTTCATAAACATCTCGATTCTTAGAATTTATTTGTCGTACATTTCATTAACAGTCACGATGTTTGTATTTTTTTGTTAAGACCTATGATCGAAAAAGATCTTTTTGTAACGGTTCGTATCTATGGAAGTTATGACGATATACATACTTGTAGTCAATACTCCAGTATGCGTTAACGGCATACGGAGTGGAGAACTTGTATAAGTTTATAATGACCATAACTTGGCTGAAATTCTAAGCGTAATTATGAGGTATTTAGGGTATTATATCGAAGGTATAGTTGCAAACCAATAGGTATTCGAAACAAAAGGTAGAGGTAGATATTCATAAATTGTGTTGTACACGCAGAGCCGCTTTCGGAATCATTAGTGCTCTGTGCGTTGCTCACCGCAGAACCAACACGAGAGACAGATAGACGCGAACAGACGGGGGCTAGATGGGGGGTGGAAGAATCGGGAAACTAAAGAGACGAAAAGGAAAAGGAAAAGGAGAGAAGCAGGAAACAGGCAAACAACGTAGAGACTCGGCGTAAGAAAGAGAAAAGTAAAGGGAGGGTTGGCTGTTAGAGCGAAAGAGCATGGCGCGAGAGGGTAGAAGAAAGAGTGAAGGAAGGAAGGAAGGAAGGAAGGGTTCGGGCGTGGGGAGGAGTTGGTAGGTTTCTTCCTTTTCAAGCATCGCGTAGCCGGGGCGATAGCGGGAAACGCGCGCGGCAAAGTAAAACGAAGAGGAGAGCGCGTCGAGAGCAGAATGGAGCAGAACGGAGCAGAACGGAACGGAGAGCGCGCGAGACGTAGCGCGTAGGTACACGTACACGGGTAGCTGCCGTCTATATTTTATATCCGGTACACGAGAAATGTCGCTAGGGCGCAGACTCGAGGCAATCGGGGTCGGTCGGCTCGCCAGTTACTTTTCGCGATCCACCGTGGCCGCCTCTGCCGCGGCGCAGGTACACAGGTCGAACGGTCAGCCGGAGTCAGTCAGTCTCACGACGGATCGGGATAAGGGCGAACGGTTTGCGCACGGACGGTGGGGAGCGCGCCGCGGGATTCGAGAGTGACGTATGAAATCGTAGGCGCAGATAGAGATGATAGCGTGAGCTCGTGTGTGCAGAGAGCAGCGAGAGGTGAAGGAGCCACGAGGGGGATAGACCAAGAAACTGTCAGGTTGCCGATTTCAGCAGCAGCAGCATCAGCCGCACGAAAGTACAGCTTGCGCGTTACCGAGCCACTTGCGCGAACCGAGCCGCCAGCTCGTCCCTACCGAGTCAGTCGAGAGCTATCGTGCCGAGTGTTTACGTCGTCGCGCGGGCAAACACGCGCGCTCCCGCCGCTCCTCGGTTCGGTTCGTTTCGTTTCGTTTCGTTTTGCCCTCGCCCTCGCCTTCGCCCTCGCCCTCGCCCTCGCCCTCGCCCTCGCCCTTTCTCCGTCGATCGTGTCGCGATCAGCTGACTGCTCGTCGATCTCGACAACCACCGTCCTCGCCCCCGCGTTCGCGTGTGACGAATCGTTTAACCCCGCGTCGCGTTCCGCGGCGATCGTGCGTTGGATCGCGATCGCGTCCCGCGTACCGAAACTCGCGGGAACCGGACCTCCTCTTCCTCCTCCTCCTCCTCGTGGCACGCGATCCTCCGTACGCGCGTGTGAAAGTCCGAATCGATGACACAGTGCGCCGAGTAAAAGGATCGAGAATTCGGGGGATCCGTGCGTCGTACAAGTGCAGTGCGCGACAACGTAGCCCAGATCAGCCGATTTTTAACGCCAGTGACGGAAGCGGTGCGCGATCACAGGGCACGAACCCGCGTGGCCGTTCTCTCGACGACGGATTCATCTTTTCGGTCGTATAGAAAAAGGTCGGGGAAGGCTTTTCTCGTCGCTGTTGCCCCGGGGTAGCCAGCGACGAACGCGTGCAAGCGTTTGATCGAGCTTGGTGGACCGTCGCGCGGCAAAGTGACTTCCGCAAAGTGCAACGACGACAACACGATACAACCACGAGACGTGATCGTCAGCATCAATGACAAGCGGAACCAGTGCATCGAATTGAGGTGAGCGCCGTTGAGAACGCGATCGACCCTGTAAATATATCGCCTGCTCGTCGATCTCCTTCCTCCTTGGCTGCCACGACGCGATCCTCTCCGAGCAGTTGTTCGTGCTTGTACGCCCGGGATTTAATTAGAGAACGGTTCGGCACAGTCGCGTTAATGGCAGGAAATTTGAGAGAATGAAATTATAATCGACTACAGCGAAAGGGCGAAGTAGAATCGCGGCCGACTGCTCGACAACGACGTCGCTGCGTTCACATGGAACATCTTTGACGTTCCATCTTTTGGCGGGTCGCGGTTAATTCTTCGCGTCGGGTTACCATTTAGGCGTACGTTGCTCTCGATAAATACTTCATCGATCTCAAACGTATATAGTAAGTTGATAATAGATCATTACTTAATCTAAATATAATATTTCCTCGTGGAAGTTAAACTATTCGGAACATTTTCCACGACTGCATCTCTCACATTAAATACAGATAGTATTTGCCCTATTTGTTTGCGATAACTGAATTGCCTGGTTTTTCATTTATTGGGAAGTTTGATTGAATGTATTTGATGTGCTATCGAGGTGTAGTTGCTCTTTCGCTTTGTAAACATTTGCTCGAAATATTTACGTTCATGGCCATCTTAACGATCTATCGTTCTAGATAATTAAATTCGAGTCGATACGAATTTTTATAAAAGCGTCTTAACAATTTTTCCGACTTGAAACTCGAAGTCTGAAATCCTCCATTTTGACAAGTTTGGTTATTCCAGTGCTATCGAATTTTTGTTTAAAAAGGATAGTTTCAGTAGCTGTTCCGTGCTTTATGGTAACATGTTTAAAACGGATATTGAAGCATATTTGAAAATAGCTTTGCATTTTATTTACGTTTCGGTAGTTGGATTAAGTAGTCGTTTACTTTTATTACCGTAAATCATCGGCTTCCATTTACGACTGGTAAATACAATCCCCTGCATCAAAGACAAAGAGGATTTTTATCGGTTGGTCAAGTTTTCCCCTAGATTCTGAGCAATCTGCAACCAAGTTCCAGGCGTACCGTTTTTCTCTTGGGTACTGTGGGATTAGTTGAAGATTAAAACCAGTATGTTTTGTAAATAGGGTTACTTTTCTTTCCGGTTGTCACACAAATACTAGAAACCTACTTAACTCAGTCCAGATAAAACTGTTTAAGTTCCTGGCTATTACAAAATTCTCTAGACCTCGCACACGGAAGTCAATTTAGAGTTTAAAGGGTTTATAAATTCCTTTTTAATCCATTTCGATGTATACTGTATTACGAAGTCCAATTTATATTTTGAATTTATCATATATTCCCATGAAACAAATATAAATATGTTACTGGATTCGAATATTAGAAGAATATTGAAAAAAAATGAGCTCATGGTAAATCAAGTATCGAAATTATACTACGTTATAGAATTTTGGAAAATTATCAAGGAAAATTTGCTATAAGACAATGCTTTCTACTGCGAACAAGGTGTTAAAGTAAATCTCGAAGGTAAATTCTGTAGAAAATTCCAACACTCTGTAAAATTTCTCCAGAAACACGATCTGCAATTGTTGTTCCTCGTAACGAAAGCTATCTCAGTTGAAAATTGCTAACAATTGAACATTTCTAAACGAAACCGTACTTCCAAGTAACAAAACATACGTCGAGCTCGAGTTTCGTTGTTTTCTCTTGTCTCGCGCATAAACGTAAAATTTAATAAGTGAATTCGTTCGCTCGTCGCGTTTAAGTATTTCCCACTGAATTTGAAATAAGTCGCATAACCAGAAAGCTGCACAACTTATTCTTCTATTCTTGGCTCTCCTAGAAATGAAACTCTAATTATACAGGGTGTTCGATCATCCCTGGGAAAAATTTTAATGGGAGATTCTAGAATCGTTTGAAGATTGGACCACTTTCATGGAGTTTTTCTAATTTTACGGAGTTAAGAAACAACTTATCGAACATTCTTACAATTTCTACATATTCTTCATCAAAATACGCGTCGTTTGCATTTTGAAACATTAAGATCCTCCAATCCGTTCAGAAGTTATGACGTTTTAAAGATACGCATGAAATTTCAGTGAAACATATCAACGGTATGGTCAGACATACGGTAAGGAATTTTTTTCTCGAAAGTGTGTAGGATTTCGAGGGTATGTGTATTGACCAAAAATGATTGTAATCGACCCCTGCAACCAAAAATAATTTTTTTAAGACGATTTGAAATTTTTTAATTTCGTCGAAAAATTTCACACATACACGAATTTTTTTCTCGAAAGTGTGTAGGATTTCGAGGGTATGTGTATTGACCAAAAATGATTGCAATCGACCCCTGCAATCAAAAATAATTTTTTTAATTTTGTCGAAAAATTTCACACCTACACGAATTTTTTTCTCAAAAATGGGTAGGGTTGCAGGGGTATATCTATTCACCAAAAATTATTGTAATTGACCTCCGCAACCGAAAATAATTTTTCCAGAATAATTTTAAATTTTTAAATATAATTTTTTAATAACTTTTTAACGAAGTCTCAATCAAAAAATTGATATTCTTGATTTTCGTCTTATTTTGGCCTCTAGAATCTCCCATTAAACACCATGTATACTTTTTCATCAAAATTGAATGGTTTATGGAAAGACATTGCAAGTATTTAAATTTATTATAAGAAATCTTGAAATTAAATTCTATGTAAAATGATGGAACTTGGTAAAATTTCTGCAGAAACACGATACGCAATTATTGTTCCCCGTAATGATAGCTATTTCGCAGGAAAATTACAAACAATGGGAAATTTTCTAAACGAAGCCACAATTTCGTCTAACAAAGCATACGTCGGTGCTCGTGTTTAGTCGTTTCGCTTTGTTTCGCGCATAAACGTAAAATTTAACAACTGAATTTGTTCGCCCGACGCTTGTAAATATTTCCCAATTACAGAGGCAACTATTTTTCCCGCTAATATTTTCTACGTTTCGCGTTCATGTTTTTGTTACGCGTAAATACGTTTTCCAGCGTTATGACGCACGAGTTGATCGTAGCGCGCTTTTTTAAAACTGGTATCCGAAGTGTTGCTCATTAAAGTAAAGAAAAGTTACAGAACAGCAATTATTTTCAGGATCAAAATTTAATTATTTCTTACTTTGTTTCAAATAAAATATGTTGAAGGTTTTTTAGGCAATAAAATCCTACGGAGTGACTCGTTACACGAGTTTCATTCGTTGATTGGCAATGATATAGGTAGAAATGATCCACTTACACGATACAGGAATAATCACGAGTTATTCGTACAATACGATTCCACTGGCATAACTTCGTTCCGTGGGACGATAAGTCACTCGTCAGTTTTAACACGCGTTAATATTATAGCGTAACGCATGAAGCTCTTATTTTATCGGCTAGAGAACACATACGTTTTACTAAAAATTTTAGTCGAACATTTTATTCGAGTGTAGTTTAATCCCGTAATTTTTTAATCCATTATAATTACGCATTATTTAATGCGGAGACTGAGAGCTAATACTAGTTATTCAGTGGAAATGAATAGGACCGCTAACGAATCTAACTCGATATGGGAACTGACCGTAATCGAATCTCGAAACGGAACGTTGGATAGCAAGTGGAACGCTTTATTATCCTTCATAACTCTTTTATACCGTGGAGTTGATCTCCAACATTTGCTTTATGAGTTATAGTTCGTTGGCAATTGTGCGTTCGTCTCTGGTAAACAGCGTTTTAGAATTATGGGTATAAACTGTACCGGTTGATGGAACTCTAGAAACGATAGAAAATACTTTCGAAGACACGATCTTTTTAACAGATTCTTGGAACTTGCGCTGAACTGTCTCGAGAAGTATTTGCGCTTAGGCTAATGAAGTTCTCTGTAGCAGAAGTTTACTCGGTATATAATACGGTCGGAAAAGTTACAGGGAAACAAATCTAATAAAAAAAAAGAAGCTGCCCAATGGAAGAAAGAAAATGTTGTAGTCGATATCTTTATTGGCTTTCGAGAAAACAGCTTGTAACGCTTTATTTGGACCATATGGTACACAATCGAGGTATTTATCTATACCAATAAGAAAAATAAATTTATAAATTCGAGATATTCGTCTCGAGCAACGATCGATGATCGATTTCCAACTCGAAAGCGGATTCGGTTCTTGCGTTGATCAATCTTTGTCGCGACGAGGGACCGTTCTGTTAACAATCGTCGTTTCTCTGCGAACGAGAGAACAGAATTTGATCTCGAGTCGTGAAAAGAAGCAATTTATCCAAGCATTAGCTTTGTCCACACATGTAGACATTAGAGAGCTGTCTATGAGCGACGAAGACAAATACAACGTTTTCTCGAGGCAAGGATCGCGTGGGCGAAGAGTTATTCGGCCGCGTTAGTAATATTTTCAACAAACCCCGCTAATTGGAGGGTTACGGAACTCTTTGCGGAACACGGAGCTCCCATAGTCGTCGTTATTTACAGTTTTATCGAAAGTTCTGGAATCTCTGGCCCGTTGGCACGATTACTCCTCCGAGGGAAGATTAAATATACAAATGTAATAGAAATTAACTATGCTCGGGATACTCGAAGTTCCCGGCGTTCCTCCTTCATATTTCCATAATTGAGAGGAAAATGCAAACGCCACTGTTTTAGATCGGGAACGAGTCGTAAGTATCCGAGGGAAGTTGAACGTTCCGTTTTAAATATTTAATGAACGAGGAAATGATATTTCATTGGTAGCCAGAATTTCTGATAGTCCATTTTCTATCTATCCAATTTGTTACACGGTAATTGAAAATATCCATTGACCTCGTTCTATAAGGGAGAATTGCTCGATAAATTCGGGAATAAAAATTGTCTTGGTAGTCGGAGCATGCTCCGCCGCGATGTCTCTTGAGTTTCTAGTTTTTGTCTTCTCCTCTGCAGTGATGGAGAATACCCTTCGGCTCCGCTGAACAAAGTTGCCCGGAATTAATTTTTCCCTATGACGGAGCATAGTTAAACCATTGGATTTCCT